AGCTGTTAAAACCTAGGTTACAAGTGGAGGGCTTGATTTATCTATTTTCATCTTCTAAGAAAGTACAGCTTGTGACTTCAGAATCAGAGGAGGAATCATGTTAGAAGACTTAAAGTTGGAAAAGTCGTGCTCTCTGCAGGCTGTGACCATTAGCACGAAGGTTATCCTTTGCAGGCAGTCTTATTACTCTGAGCAAAATAGTCAAGAAAATACTCTTTTATAACTATTTTATCGAGGAGGAAATACATATTCATATGAATTGAGGGTTCAGCCCATCATGCTTTTTCATATGCATACAATCACAGCGTAGGCTTTTAGGCCTTGCTTCCGAATTAGAAATTCAAATATGCACTTGAAAGTGTTCTGACTTGTACTTAGTTTTGAAGAAGTGGAATTGCTTTTTGCTTAAGCACTGTATTGTGGTGTGGAGATATGGAGTGAAATAACAGGACCTAAAATAATCTTTCAGGTGATAATAATCTGAGTAAGAATATTTGCTGTTGAATGGTGTCCTTTTGTCTTTCAGTCTCTTCAGGCAGGGATAAGAGATGACTCCTTAGTTTCTGTATGAAAAAAAGATTTTCCAGTACAGTGTTTATTTATTTATTTTACAGTGGCACCACGTGTATGGTATGTTCTGTTATGCAGTTATAGAAACTGCATTCTGACTACACTTTTATTTTTGATCACTGTATATAAGTTTTGTCACTAATACAGGAACTGCATCTGTTTAAGCAGTACGTATATTTACATATCTTGAATGTAGAGAACAGCATGGCTTGCCTTTTGCCCATTTTCGTTCTTTGAATTTTTTCTTAGGAAGCAAAACAGGAAAGACGTTCAGAAACATGCCTTCCTTTAGTAGAAAGCCATTCTTCCCAGTATTGTGCTAGTCAGCCTTCCTCTGAACAAAGCCACTTCCATAGTATCTCTAATTCCTGCACGTAAATCATAACTTCTCAGAATGTTCTTTAAAAGTTTTTTTTTTAAACGTTATGTTTTATATCATGACATTTAATGCCCTCTGTGGTCGTGTGGGAAGCCTGGGATAGTGTGAGGAATGTGTGAACCAGAGCACTCAATTCCCAGTCTTCCTTCTGTCTCATATTGAATTAACTTGCTTTATTTTGCCAGCACACCATTCCCAAGTATGAACATCATCGTCTCAGCAGGTTCCAGCTGTGTCATTACAATTCAACATACTTGGTACTTATTTTCCTTTAAGGTCACTAAAATGAGATACTTAAAAGCACTGGCTTGCTTGAGGTATTTGAATCTTAAAATTCCTCCCATAGTCTGTTACTACATGCCAGGTCAGCCTCAGCTTCTGAATATGCAGCATTCCCACATCCTCCTGCAGTTCTCCTGCTGA